CAATTGGGACATGTCTCTCAGGTAGTGAGTGTCTAATTTCTTCCTAATGGAGTAATCTAGACCTCCTGCGGCTATTTCGACTAACTCATGTTCTGGCACTTGCGTAAAGCATCTTGCCTTGAGCAACCTAAACCTATTTAAATATTCGTCTATAGGTTCAGTGAATCGCCTCTTCACACTAGCCAACTCTTTCAGGCTTATCTTGGTTTGTCCCATGTAGAATTGCTCATGGAATAGTCTCTCCAACTGGGTCCAATGGTGGATCGAATTGGGGGGGAGAGTTGTGAACCAAGTAAACGCATTCTTTGTTAGGGAACTTGGGAAATACTTAATCCTCAGGTTCTTATTGTTTGAAATCTCTCCTGCTTCGATCAAGTATCTTGCCAAATGTTCGACAGTGGATTCTATCGTGTCCCCTGAAAACTTAGTGAACTTAGGGACTTTTCATCTCGGAGGCAAGTCCGTTTGTAACACATATTCTGACAGCGGGGATGTAAAGTTGGGCCTACGGAAGCCCGTATTCATCCCATTTTGCATCATGATTCTTTCAATCATGGCTGTCAAGTTATTTTCCAAACCCATATTTTGGTATTGGATCTGCTGAACTACTTCATCAGTGTTTTGGTTTCTATTAACCATCCTTACTTCAGGGGCTATGACTCTAGGCTCTTCGACCCCGGGTTGTTCCATTCGTACCCTAAGGTTTTCTTCGACAGGCTGCTGGACTTGGTTAATAGTGGTTTCTTCCTCTAGAAGTATACCTTGGTTTCCCCTTATCTGTGCCCTTTGGGGCTGTCGAATAGGTTGGGGTACCCCAAAAAAGTCAGCCAGACGCGCCATTTGCGCTGTCATTTGCTGATTCGACTGGGTGATATTTTGTATTATAGGATTTAGCATTGTGCTTAAAGTTTGTGCCAACATTTGAACCATATCGTGGTTGCTTTCGTCCATTTGTTGCCTCAAGACTGCTGTCGAGGCATTCGTAAGGCCATGCATTACTTGGGACGTTCCTCCTAAGAGTTGGGTCCTACCCCTGTTCGCCATACCAACCCCAGAGCCTTGGAGTGGCGAAGAGGCGCTCACTAAGGGGTCTGAAAAAGTGGACGTAGCATTCGTCAGGCTAGCCAACTCAGAAGTTGGCATGCCATAGAGTGGTTCTCGATTTAAACCGACTGTCGAAAAACCTGGGGGAACATATGGCCTAGTTCCTTGGTTTCCCCTTGGTGGGGGAGTTCCCAAAGGCATTTTGGGGCCTGTAAATGAAGGTAATGGCCCCGTTTGTGTAACAGTTACTGCTGGTGTTGAACCAGCGGTTATCGCTTCACTTACGGTTGGGATAACCGTTGCTCCCACGTTTGTTTGTGGGATTTCTCCATTGTTTGGCGGATTCGCCATCTCTTCACTTCTTCTCCTAGTATTGGTTTCGTTGGTGTATATTCTACCACTTCTCAATAACATGCAATACTCTCGAAAAAGGAGGATATTTTATATAAAATGGTTAATCATAAAAATCAACACAAGGTCCCACCGGGTGTGCCAATTTGTTTACCGTGAAAATTGGTAAACAACCGCTGATCTTCCAAAAGGTTACTTATTTGGTGACTAGCAGGATCGATCAGATTGATCCTAAGACATGGTTGATTTTCTGGAGTTTGACTAATCCTAATGATGATTAATGCCAGTAAAGTAAAGACACTTTAAGTAAATTGCATGAAGAAAAGCTTGATAGAATAAATAAAAGTGTTAAGTAAAAGGCTTCGACGGAGATAAGTAAATGAAAAGCGATAAACTGCTTGAATATAAAAGACTTTGATTAATTTAAATGGTGTTTCACACATACATTCTCAATGATTCGTTCTCTCACGCTGGGTACTTGAATCTAAATGAGTGACTTGTATAAGATGATGAACACACGCGAAAACTACGTGAACAGCTAGTATTTATACTAAAACAAATCCTAAGTAACCGCTGGGCAGTTATGCTGCTTCGAGATGACGCCACATGGCACGCTCACAGCCTTCGACGCTTCTGTCTTCGGCACGTTGCACTTGGTAACTGCTGGGAACCGTTTTCCCTCCAACAATTCAAATCTCAAACCGTTCGACCTTGGGCATCAGGTACCCTTGTCGAGAGGTTCCTTCAACGTCGAAGACAACAAGATTCCCACTTAAAGGAATTTCTCTAAGTATCTTGTCATTCTTTGATGAGCCTTCGACAGGATCAGCTGGTCGAAGCCTTCTTATGTAGGAAACTCTTCTGACTCATAATTAATGGTCTATATGATAACAAACAAGGGTGTCGAATTTAGGAGCCAACAATGGTAAGATTAAAATAAAACTCTAGAAAACCTAATCAAAGACAAATTAACTGAAAACAAATCACTTTTCACACACGCGCCTCTAGGGTGACCCCATTGTTGCCTTCGGATAAAACAGTCATGTCACTCGAACGTGGGACGCTTTAGCAAAGACCCTCGGTTAAAAGATCATAGTCCCCCGATGACCCTTTGACGCTGCCTTCGGTAAATGATCTTAGTCTCTTATAACAAATTGCTAAAGTGCCCTATGAGTTGCATTTATGCCTGTACGATGACTCACGCCTGTCCTTCAAACATCCAACGATAGGGTTTTCTACTAACTAATGATAGGATAGCATTATCTAAAGGAAGAGGAAAATAACACGAAAGACTTTTGAGTAGGTAGATAGCTTTTAATATCTTGCTCACAAAAACATCTTTTCACACAAACACTTTTCTGAAATATTTTCAAAACAAACACTTTGTATGCGTTCTCAACGATACGAGAATCATTACAAAGTTTTTCGAACTTAGGCATTTTCAAAATATTTTCAAATACATATTCACAAAGTATTTTCAAAGTGAGCTAGCGATTAAGAGCCCGTAGATAACTACGAATGAAAAGGGTGCTAACACCTTCCATTTTCATAACCTACCCCCCCTTACTTAGAAAAATTCTCAAAGGTCTTTCCCGTTCTTTTCACCCTTTCCTTTATTGGATAAAAGAAAAGTCGATGGCGACTCTTGCTAACCGCAACATTTGCGATAAAAAGCAAAACCAAAAGTCAGTTCTGCCACCGTATTACACGTAATGCTCGGGTGATTTCAAGAAGATGACGATTTTTCCTTTCAGCAACCCCATTTTTTGTGGAGTGTCAACACAAGTCGACTCATGAACAACACGATTAGTTTTGAGAAAATTGTGAAAATTTTGGTTTACATACTCCTTACAATTGTCCAACTGTAACCTTTTAATAGGTTTCCCAAACTGTGTTTTAACCATTTGAAAAAAGTTAACAAACAATTGACACACTTCAGACTTATCTTTCATAAGAAAAACCCATGTAACCCGAGTACAGTCATCAATAAAAGTAACATACCATTTTGCACCAGAAATATTGGAAATGAATGAAGGCCCCCATACATCAGAATGAACAAGATCAAAGGGTTCGACACTCCTAGTATCACTAGGGGAATAGGTTGCTCAATGGGATTTAGAAAATAGGCACACATCATAATGAAAGGAATCAACAAACACTTTGGTAAATAGGTGAGGGAATAGAGACCTGAGTATGCAGAAAGGAGAATGTCCAAGACGTCTGTGATGGAGCCATATTTGAGTATTTTCCCATGACTCTGAACCAGCCTGATGACACTTGCTTTCCTTATGAGGCAGATGATATAACAGGTTTTGTTCCTCAGCAGGTCCAATCGTCTTCCCTGTGGAAAGGTCCTAAAAAATACAATGAGAATAAAAAAGGTTACAGCATAATTCAAGTCTTTAGTGAGTTTATGGATGGACAAAAGATTGTTAGAAAGCTTAGGGACATGAAGCACATGGTTTAGGTGGAGAGATGGGCTTAGGTAGATGTTACCAGATCCGACAATCGGGGTTTGGGACCCATTTGCAATGGTAATATGATGTTTATTAGGTAAAAGTGAATAAAAAGAAAGATATGACATATATGGGATCATGTGATCAGTTGTTCTGGAGTCAATAATCCAGATATCTTTAGAACAAGAGGCATTAAAAGCTAAGAAGCTAGAGTTCTTACCAGTCATGGTCAGAGAATTAGTGTTAGAGAACTTACTTAAGGAATCCATAAAGAGAAACAAACCGTCTCGAGCCAGGAGAGTCGAGATATACTGTTAGGAGAGGATCGAAGGGTCGCCAATGAGAAACTTCAACAAAGATGACAACCAAACAATCAAGGGTTGCAAACAGCAAGAAATAGAGGTACAACAATGAAGGTTGTCCTGAAAACAATAATGAAGGTGAAACCGTCCGGATCAGCAACGACAGTTGAGCGGTGCACGACGGCTGCAAAGTCACCGAAATCACTAGGGTTCCAAGAGAAAGGGAATCTTGGCCAAGAAAAAAGGGTCGTAATAAGACGACTAGTGTTTCAAGCGTGGAAGCAGAGCCCTTAAAATCGGGTGCTCTTATACCATAAACAAACAAACAATTTGTATTTCTTTCATATTGTAATAAATGATACATGAAAGATATTTATAGAATACATGGACAAATCATTTTAAATGCTAATTCTAAATATTAATTCTAAATATGATAGAAGACAACTAACTACTAATTATTAATTATTATTTACAATAAATATTATGCTTAGTTGTATAACACAAAATCTATTAATTCTGTAATTATCTCTCAACTAACTTCCAAAAAAAATTATGTACACTCTAACTATAAAAAGAAAAAAAATTAAACTCTACTTGAGGATATCCAAAATATCTAAATTCAAAAAACATTTAAATAAGTCATCAAGAGTTTGACTTGAAATTGAATTCAAACATAAACAACATTTAAATAAGTAATTAGAGTTTAACTTGAAACTGAATTCAAACGTAAACAAACATTAAATAAATCATCTAGAGTTTAACTTGAACCCAAAATAGCAACATACAATTGACATCATGTTTTCAAATACTTGAAACCAAAGTCATACATGAAACTTTTTAACCAGAATCAAACATCTTCTTCATTTGGAAATTCCAAGCTCGCTGCAACCCATTTATCTTCACCAATAGGCACAATTGTAATCCCCTCAGGAAATATAATATTTGGATAACTTGTGTACACCTTGTACCTGTTACCAAGTAAGTAGCTACTTCTATTTGAAGTCTTTCCCTTGTTCGATTCGGAAACCGATACAGGAGGATGTTTATCATGTGAAGATGAAGGGAACATGTTGTTTATCTTTATTTTTTTGTTAGGAGGCACTGGAAAAAATCCATTATGCATGCCATTGTGTAACATCTCCCGATCCAAAAGTTCGCCTGTTAGAATAAACACAAAGTCGTTAACATGTTCAATGGTTAGTATATTACACTTTTAAATAAGAAAAATATTTCAGGATGATTCCAAAATAATTATTGATAAGTAAGATATGAGTTTTGAGAGAAGATGAAGAAGCAAACCTTCAGAGTTGAGGGTCTGCTTGGATTTAGCAATGTCTGCTTTGGTAGAGGAAGAAAAAGCAGCATACATATCAAGTCCACCTGTGTAGGACAATAATATTATCAAAGCATAATAATCATATTCATAGATATATGTTGCATCTAAATTGCACAGAACTTACACTCTTTTAAGGCAATGTAAGCAATCTTTGCAGCATCATGTTCCGCCTGTTTTTTGGATCTAGATGCCTTTCCATGAAATTCAACACCCTTTACTTCCACAGTCGAGAAAAAAGTCGGCATATTAGATGAACGAGACTCTGTAGTTTTATATGTTGGTTTGGAAAAACCTTCTCTCTGTGTTAATTCAAGCAGTAAACTCTTGGCTGGACAAGATTCATCCTGAATAAATAGAATACAGAATCAAAATTCAGGTAAGCACTTCTGCGAGTAGATAAGCTAAAGTGGAATGACAAGGATACTTGCCTTCTTAAACAAGTCAGCAGAAATTGGCAATTCGTTCAAAGCAATATTTGCAGCAGCCTGTTCTGCCTCTTTTATAGTGTTGAAAAATGCTGGGCTGTCGAATGATGTCCCGCCAATAACAACAGTAGCCTTATAGCGAATGTCATGAGGTAGCCCCTCAGCTTTAATTGTAAAAACAGGTTGGTCGAGATTGTTCTTTCGAGCATAGTTTTGCAACTGATGTTTGCTCATCAAACGTGCCGTCTCTTGAGATTTGGCAGCTCCAACTTCATCTTTTGAACCATATAGAAGTCATGAATCACAAATATTAGAGTTAAATTTTATAAAATAAGTGCTAGTCAACAGTTTCCAATTTAAAACTTTTTAAAACTTTTTTAGATTGTCACTTTTAAAATGAAAAAGTGGTTTTTCAAAGAAGTTTTGCTCATAAAGAAAACACAGTTCAAAATACCAAAAGTTTCAACTACAAGATCAACATATCATTTCCACAGCAAGATTTAAAATAAAATAAAAAACATCTTGTTAAGGAAACAAAACAAACTCAAAAAGAGAAAGAAGTCGAGTACCAAATGAAGGAGAAGAGAAGTTGTGAAAACCTTTCATAGCAGCTTGGTTTTATGCCTTATACATTTTCACTCTCACTCCTTCTTACTATTGGTACAATGTGAAGATATTATGAAAATGAAAAGTAAAATCAATCTATATATATATATATATATATATATATATATATATATATATATATATATATATATATATATATATATATATATATATATATATATATATATATATATATATATATATATTGGTTAAATTTACATGATATGATACGGTTGCATCCAGAGAAGATTGTCTTGGGTCATGAAAGTGAAAAGTAAACTCATGCATTCCACAAGGGATGAAAGTACACTCATGCAAAAGTAAAGAGAACTACAAATCATGATAAAGATTTACAATACAGTTTTACTATGAAATTCATACACTTTTGGAATTAGTTGTGTAGCAGATACCACGTGTCATGATCCTGGATTTTTTCATTATAGACATATAGTTAATTTCATTTAATATTCCTACAAATTTAATTTTGTTTTATGAATATCCCTAAACTAATTACTTCTAACTCCACTCCTAATTACTTTTGTTTCTCACGTGAAAGATAGAGGGAGAATCTAGTTTTAACATACTTCTGTTTCTCACATCAAAGATAGAGGAACAATTTAGTTTTAACATGTTTAATAGAGATTTACAATGATATATATATATATATATATATATATATATATATATATATATATATATATATATATATATATATATATATATATATATATATATATATATATATATATATATATATATATATATATATATATATATATATATATATATATATATATATATATAGGATTGTTCAAATCTAAACCAATTCAAACAAAAACTGTAAATCGATCCAAAAAAATTAAAATTTATTGATTGTGTTTGGATGTTATTTTGTGAAAACTACTCAGTTCGGATCGGATTTCGGATTGATTTTTTAAAAGCGATCCAAACCGAACTGCATAGTTATATTTTCATACTTATTTATTTTTTATTAATATGGTATGTTACATGAATTTATTATTAGATGAAATTTATTTTTTTAATACTATTTATTAACTTAGTTTAATTTATTTATTTTTATTATTTTATTTATTTCAACTGTAATCAATCCTTTTTATTTTATAATATTAACTTTTAATATACTATATGTTATATATTATATCAAATATATGATTTATTAATATTTTATAGTATTAATAAAAATATAATTTGGATATCTAAAAATTGATCCAAATTAAACTGCATTAAATTGGATTGGATCGGATCGGATTTTTTTAACATATCATTGAAAACCGAACCGCAAGTAAATTTATTTATAGATCGGATGAGTTTTTGCCTTAAAACCGACCCAAACACTAAATGGGTGACTTCCCCGCTGGTTGAAGGATATCGGGGAGAACCTCAAGCAAGTGGGAGTGAATTGTTTATGATATTAAGGGATTCGGAGGTTTACACAAGTATGCGTGAGCTCCAAGCCATGTGTCTTGCTTACCCCTCAGTCAAGAGCCTTATATATAGACGTGCATAGACCTCATTGATCACTGCATATAAGTGTTGTGACTCTTCATTATACGTAACTGAGTTGGCATTAAGGCAAGAAACATTTGTTGTTGCCAATAATGGCTATTATCATAACGTGTATCGTCATGTATTGATGAGCGGTTACGCCCTTAATGGGTCGGTCACTCTAACACACTCATTAAGGTCGGACTCTATGTAACATCTGGATCCAGGGATAATGTCTGAGTATAAGCCCGGCTGGCGCCTCTTCATCTTTCTCTATGGCCGACCACATATGCCTCTGGCTATACAATCTGACTCAGACATGAAGATCTCAAACCAGGGTACTACCCGACTAAGCATTTATTTTTCCTCCTTGACCTTTTATCCATATCTTACCTTTTTATCTCTCCTAGCCCGGACAATGGATCGATGTATGAACATAAGCCCCACAAACATATAGCTTTATTTGAAGCCATATGTTCGATCAATGTAAATATTAATCTTTTGCTCTGGATCGGGCTCCTATAACTGGACGGTTGTTGAGTTCATTCCCGATGTGTGTGACGCTCACACCCTAATTTCCCAACAATCACCTAGTTTTTTTAGGTGTAATCATTACTAAGGCAATTTTTGAAACCTACACATGTTTTCTCTTCTTTAGTCATTACTTTCCATAACTTTTCTTTTTATGAAAACTTTTTCTCTTCTATTCTCTAAAGACTCTCCTATTTTCCTTTGCAAGTGCCTCCCAATTCCTCTATTCAAATCTTTCGAACGAAAATCGCTTCCAGGTATATTTCTCTTCTCTTCACTTTATTTTTCTTGCACGTTTCCTTTTGTTTTAAGAAATGGTAGTTTTACGCGAATGTGTAAAGAGGGTGTCATTCTAAAACCCTAAAATGCTGAAGAGAGATACACATTGTGGCGTGCATGTATGAGGTATTGTAAAAAAGGATTAGGTAGAGAGGAGTTTGATCGTATTATGTCGAAGGTTTATGGGGATGTATATGCCTCTTTTAGCGATTCTGACTCCAAATCTTCCTCATCAGATTCCAATTCTGACTTTACTTCTTCGTTCATTGCTTTCACCCACTTTGAGTCCTTTAATGCTTCAGCTGAAATGACAGGTTCGACATCTGCATAGAAAGCATAATGTACCTATTCACCTCCATTATCTATCACATCATCTGATGTAATCACACAATCTTGCAGGCATGCATCTTGTTCTTTGAGGTCTGCTTGTACTTGGTTGATCTATAACTGCTGGTTCCTCTTCTCGAACTTCTCTTTTGACTTGAATTTCTGGTTCTTCAAGTAGGATTCCCACTTAATCTTTCTTGACATTTTCAGTCCAATCCCATTCTTTAAGCTCATCTATGATCACGTCCCTGCTGATCACAACCTGCTTGTTCACTGGGTCAAACAACTTGTAACCTCTTGTCGAATGATATCAAACTAGAATCATTTGACTCAACTTGTCATCAAGTTTTCTTCTCAACTGATTTGGCACGTGTCTATGTGCAATAGATCCAAATACCTTCAAATGACTCAAGCCACGCTTCACACCAGACCAACATTCTTCTGGAGTAGTTGCTTCTAACTTCTTCATAGGACATCTGTTCAAAATGTATGTTGCAGTCGAAACAACTTCACCCCAAAACTCTTTAAGTAAATTCTTGCCTTTCAACATATTTCTCACCATATTTATGATGGTTCGATTCTTCCTTTCTACAGTTCCATTATGCTGCGGAGTATAGGGTGGCACCACCTCATGCATAATTCCTTCCTTTTCACATAACATGTCGAAGTCTTTCGACACATACTCTCCACCACCATCAGTTCTCAAAACTTTGAGTTTTCGACCATAGACTTAACTTGGCAAATACCTCGATCACTTCACTTTTCTTCTTGATCAAGTAAGTCCATAGCTTTCGACTGAAATCATATATGAATGTAATAAAGTATTTGTTACCTCCCGTCGAATTCACCTGGATTGGTCCACATACATCAGAGTATATGACTTCAAGAATAGCCTTCGACCTGCTTCATGCATCCTTGCTAAAGCTATTCTTGTGTTGCTTCACCTGCACACATTTCTCACATACCTCATTTGGAATGTCGATTTATGGCAATCCTGAAACCATATTTCTTCTCTTAAAATCTTTGATGTCTCTGAAGTTGAGATGGCCTAGTCGATAATGCCATATCCATTCATCTCTGCTAGCTGCAGTCAAAAGGCACTTGTGCTCCATTACATTTAGTTCGATCTTGAAGGTTCTATTTTTAGACATATGAGCCTTCAAGATTAATCTTCCATTTGCGTCGACGACTCTCATTATCTTATCTTCAATCGCCACTTTATAATTCTTTTCGACCAATTGCCCTATACTGAGCAAATTGATCTTCATGCCTGGTATGTACAACACATTAGAAATTACTGACCTCTTGACATCTTTCCTTGTAATCATAACATCACCAATACCTTCAGCTGTTAGGATATTGTCATTTGTGAATTTTATCATATTTTTTATTGAGGGATTTATGTTGACAAATCAATCTTTCCTTCGAGACATATGTGATGAGCATCCTGAATCCAAGTATCATTGGTCCTTGAATCTATCTTCATCTCTTGTTGTAACCATCAGCATCATCTCTTCTTCTTCATGTTTTGCAAACTTTGCATCACTTTCTTGATTCTTTCGTTTTTTTGGACAATCACTCGAATAATTACCATACTTCTGACAATTATAACATTGAATGTGACTCTTGTCAGGTTTTCGACCACCACCTCTTTCTCTATTTGAAACACCACCTCTTTGGTTTCCTTGGTATGGTCTTCTTTGATTCGACACGTTTCCTTCATTTTGGTTTCCTCTGCCATTTGATTTGTTATAGCTGCCTCTAACTCTGTCGAACCATTTCCATTTGTCTTTGGTTTCTTTTGCTGAATGTGCCTGCAAAGCCACATCACTCTTTGATTTGTCTGCAGCTCTTTCAGTCATTCTTTGTTCATGAGATTCAAGCGTCCCTTGAAGCTCTTCCTTTGTCAATTTCGACAAGTCTTTCCTCTCTTCTATAGCCACTACTATGTGGTCGAACTTAGGAGCCAAAGATCTCAAGATCTTCGAAACAACAACTCTTGTTGTTAATGTTTCTCCACATACCTTAATTTGATTCATTAGTTTTGTAACTCTATTGAAGAAATCAGATATGCTCTCATTATCTTCCATCTGAAGCAATTCATATGTTCTCTTGTAATTTTGTAACCTCACTTCTTTCACCTTTTCTACACGACCAAAAGACTTCTCAAGTACATCCCAAACTTCTTTTGCAAATTCTAAATCACTCACTTTTTCAAAATTTTCTAGACTCACACATTGATGAAATATAAAGAGTGATTTATAACTCAGCTTCTCAATTTCTGTGTGTTTCTTCTTTTCTTCTTCTGAAGCGTTTTCTCCAAGCGCTTCGAATCCATCTTTTACAAGATCTTAAAGACCTTGACACCTGAACAAAACTTTCATCTGTTTGCATCAATTCTCGTAGTTGTCTACTTTCAGAATTGATAGAGTTGTTGGATAATTTGCATTCTCATTATTCGTCATCGTGAATTCTTTTTCTTCCTCAATCGTTCTTGATCGATACTTCCCTTGAATCGAAATCAAACTCTGATACCAGATATTAGAAATCCACCAAATATCTATGATGAATTTCTACCAATCTTGATGAACAAGATTGATATCACCACACAATGACAATGAATTATGAGAAAAGAAAAGAAAGAAAAGAAAAAAAAGAAGACAATTATTTTCTGCAGAGTTTCTCTCTGTCCACAAGCTGTGGAAAACTTTATTAATCACTTGCAATTGCAAATTCTGTGATTACAATGAATTAACTTAATTGTCTTGATTACAAAATAGGGATTACTCCCTCTATTTATAGATTTAGCTTGCTCCTTAAGCTCAAAACTATAAAAGCTCAAAATACCTATTTTGGTACTAAATCAAATCTATTGTATTTTAGACTTAAATCAAATTTATCTAAATCTAAAACAAATCTAATCTGTGTGCAGCTTACTTTGATCCACAAGATCTTCGACTGGACAATGGCTTCCTTCGAACAACCTGCTTCGATCCACCTCTAAACCCTTCGACACGCATAGTTCTGATACTATGAATTACAATTTAACAGTTACTTCTTATTTGTGGATTGGAAGTTTATGAGACTGTGGAAAATGGAATGTGCATCTGATTGATAAAGTTTTTAATTTCAAGAGAAAGTGTGTAGTGTTGTTGTGGAGACATGGACACAAAAGAATGACTAAAGATATTTTTGTAGTGATGTTTGTTACATAAACCTAAAGAGTTTATTTGTATCAAAAGATATTTTGAGGTATTTTTCTTATAGATTTGTGCACTGACAGATTCTAGTCCAAACTTATAATATTCGTCAACTTTTTTTATTTCACTTAGTGAAGTTTCCTTCCAATGATCTTTACAAATTCACAACAATTACTTCTACAGCTTGTCTAGTTTCACTGTCCAAAACAAATGAATGTATAGCTTTTGCTTTACATGACAACCAACTAAATATAATTTATAATTTGTAACAATCAAGAAATGAAATTAGAGAGGCAGAGATAGAAGTATTGAGGCGGTATTGAAGAAATGGCAGTATTGAGATAGTATTGTGTTGCTTTAGTAATAGTTCCACACCGGTTGATATAAAAACATCATTAGTGTTTATATACCAATTAAACTTATAAAATTATAAATTGAAACAATGTGAGAATAAGTGAATTGTTATTAAAATTTAAATGGGTTTTGACCCAAATAAAATATTTTGATAATTTAAAAAAATTATTTCTAAAAAATATTAATAAAAACATTTGAATAAACGTAAATTAAAAAAAAAATTAATAAAATAGAAAATTAAAAAATAAAGAAAATTTTATGTAAATTTGACAAAGAACAGGGACTACTGAAAAGAGAATCTTTATTTTTACAAGCATCATGTATTCGCAAAAAAAAATATTTCAAGAAGAAAAACCAAAACTCGTCTTAATGGCGGTGGGATGGGAATAGTATATTTATCCTTAAAATCTTTGAGTCCCTTTAAAGTATTCCTTTGAAATAAGATGGTTTAGTACGTGGCTTGCATATAATAACTGAGATTGCTCTCTATATTCTTCCACTCTTCCAGTGTGTTTAAAACAATAATTCAAAGGGGCTTTGGATCAACGAAGGTTAAAAAACATTTGAGTACGGTGTTCTAAGTTCCTCCCGTGTTGAGTTTGATCAAAGCAACACAATTCAATCCCACATTCTAATAGTTCAACTTGGGCCTCCATCTTGCTCAAAAAGCATGCAAAGCCAAATTTGATCACATTGCTGGTTCGATGGTATACTTAGCATTTCTATTGCAGGATTTTAATGAATACTTCTATTGCCTGAGCTCATTTGTTTAATGGACACTTCTATATTTTTTTAAATCATGAATAGATACTTCTATTTATAGAGAATAAATGCATAGAGTAAAATTATATTCTAACAGAAAATGTCAATTAAATGGAGAGATCCTAAGCATGCATATATAGAGGATTTATAATGGAATTTAACTTTTGCCTCTCTTGAAACTGAATTCAAACATAAACAACATTTAAATAAGTCGTATAGAGTTTAACTTGAAGCCAAATAACAACATAGATTCAACATCATGTCTTCTAATACTTGAAACCAAAGTCATACATGAAACTTTTTAACCAGAATTAACGTCTTTGTCATTTGGACATTCCAAGCTCGTTGCAATCCATTTATCTTCACCAATAGGCACAATTGTAATCCCCTCAGGAAATTTAATATTTGGAAAACTTGTGTACACCTTGAACCTGTTACCAAGTAAGTAGCTACTTCTATTTGAAGCCTTTCCCTTGTTCGACTCGGAAACCGATACAGGAGGATGTTTATCATGTGAAGATGAAGGGCTTATCTTTATTTTTTTGGCAGGAGACAGTGGAAAAGATCCATTACGTTTGCCATAGTTAACTTTGATATCGGTGTGTAATATCTCCCGATCCAAAAGTTGATCTGTTAGAGTAAACACAAAGTCATTAACATGTTCAATGGTTAGCATATTACATGTTTAGAAAAGAAAAATAGCTTCATGATGATTCCGGAAAAAGTTATCAATAAGCAAGATATGTTTTTGGATGAAGATGAATAAACAAACCGTCGGACTCCGAGTTGAGGATCTGTTTGGATTTAGCAATGTCTGATTTACGAGTTGATTGTAGTGCCATGTTTGCTTTGGTTGAGGAAGAAAAGGAAGCATACATATCAAGTCCACCTATGTAGGACAATAATATTATCAAAGCAGGATCATATTCATAAATAATAATCGGCTATATTTTGCGTATACATAGTACAGAACATCATATATAAAGCATGTTTAGTGTTGGACACCAACTCGACACTAATAGAGGCCAAACTTGTTTGTGATAGGTATGAATGAAAGCAAAGTTGAGTGAACGAACTTACACACTTTAAGGCCAATGTAAGCAATCTTTGCAGCATCATGATCAGCCTGTTTTTTGGATCTAGATGCCTTTCCATGAAATTCTACACCCTCTACTTCCACAGTTGAGAAAAAAGTTGGCATATGAGTAGAACGAGACTCGGTAGTTCTATATGTTGGTTTTGAAAAACCTTCTGTCTGTGTTAATTCAAGCAGTAAATTCTTGGCTGGACAAGTTTCATCCTGATTAATGCAGATATATCATGAATATACAAGTAAACTTGAATAAGTTTGATGATTTGATCTTCAAACACAGTTGATATACTATTAGGTCTTGTTTGGATAAAAAAACTTGTTGAAGTGCTTATCGCATAAGCACTTATGAATAAGCTATTTCTATAATAATAACTAAAAAAAGTCAAACTGTTTTCTTATAGTTTTTAAGCAATGTATATAAGCTATCCTAGACTTAAATATCCACACAGAAAACATCAATTTGAAATCACATAACAAAGGACACTTGCCTTCTGAAACAAGTCAGCAGAAATTGGCAATTCCTTCAAAGCAATCTTAGCAGCAGCATGTTCTGCCTCTTTTCTTGTGTTGAAAAATGTTGGGCTGTCGAATGATGTCCCACCAATAACAACAGTAGCCTTATAGCGAATGACATGAGGTAGTCCCTCAGCTTTAAATGTAAAAACAGGTTGATCGAGATTGTTCTTTTGAGCATAGTTTTGCAACTGAGGTTTGCTCATCAAACGTGCCGTCTCTTGAGATTTGGCAGCTTCAACTTCCTCTTTTGAACTATGTTCATCTCTTGGTGTTGAAGAGCCTGCATGGAAGCCTTGAATTGATGTAATTGTAACCTACTAGCTCCTATCATCATATTGTTTTCCTTATCTTTCAAGGCATGATTTTAAAACAAGAAAACTTTCTAACAGAAGTGATTTTTCATAGAAATTTCGCTCATAAAGAAATGGCTTTTCAAAATACCAAACGTTTCAAATACAAGATCATCATATCATTTCCAAAGCAAGATTTAAAAAACACACATTTTTTAAGGAACCAAAGCAAACTCAGAAAGAGAAAGAAGTAGAATACCAGATGAAGGAGAAGATAAGTTGAGAAAAGCTCTCATAGCAGCTTGGTTTTGAGCTTCTTTTGATGTATTGAAAGTGTCAGAAGAAGTGAAAGTGAGATCGTTAACAAGAACAGAAGCCTTATAGGTTGGCTTGTGTGGAGGACCATCATACATGGCAGAGTATTTAGGCAAACTCCACCCTCTCTGGTGGCATTCTTGTAGTTGTGTCTTATACATTTTCACTCTCACTCCTTCCTACTATTGCTACAACAGTGAAGATATAATGAAACTGAAAAGTAAAATCTACATATATATAGATTGTTTGCAGAGAAAATCCCTTGGGCGTGAAGGGTCATGAAAAATTGTTGGTACTTTTGTGCAAGCCACATGGTTGAAGCCTGTTTTGTTGTTTTGTGTATTTTTGTCTTGTGGTAGTTTACAGCATTTGGAAAACAAGTACTATCATACCATAATGGTTCGGCAGAGTTCTCTGCAGCAAGATTTTAAGAGACAGATAGTACGATATTATGATCTTGTAGACAATGGTGTCTACAATTCAAACTGTGTTTTTGCCTTCACAAAAATGGAAAAATAATTGCAGATACTTCAAAAAGTAAAATTGACCTTATGCTCAAAATGGGAGAGTACTCTCTCTGCAAAATATGTCTTTCTTTTTTACTGTTATGGATTTATACTCATGCATTCCCCATGGGAAAAAGTATACTCATGCAAAAGTACAGAGAACTACAAATCATGATAAACATTTACAATACATATTAACTATGTTTGCACACTTATTGAATTAGTTGTTTACCATATATCACTCGTATAACATGTGTCAAGATCCTGGAATTTTTTTTATCATAGCAGTATCATCGACGAGTTCTTCAAGACCAAAGAAACATCTTGATTTGAAGATGGATAAATAGTTAATTTTCATTTAATACTCCTATAAATTTAAATTTGTCAAATGATGAATACCCCTAAACTAATTACTTCTAACTCCACTCCTAATATTCTCTCATAAATAAATGTAGAGATGAAATTTACCATTTGAGTTAGTCAACGTTTCTATAAATGGACCCAAAAATGGACACTTGTTTCCCAGATAAAAAGATAGAGGGAGAATTTAGTTTTAACATATCTACTACAGATTTTTTAGCCAAATAATTATCAACTTTAGTTTTAGACTTAAACTCAAATAACATCTATGACAATTATAAGGTTCAACTATATGAAACAGCTCGTTATTATATTTTTCTTTTTCTAATTTGTAATCTTTTTTGGCAGTGTTAAGTATCTACTTAAAACAGCTCACACCACTAATCCGTAGAAAAATGGACAGCTCATTTGATTAGAGGCTGCAAGGTTGCATTTTCTCCTGACCCCAAGTTTTCCAACAAAACATAAAAACTCAAACAAAAATAGATAATTCAACTTATTTACATACTGTAAAATGCAAACCTACAATTGAAAGAGCACAACAAAGCATCATGTTTGAGAACAAAGGAAAAAATCTATCATCAAAATATTATTCGAAAAATAAAGCATTCAGTTTTCCAACTGGAGCACGTCCTCTCACATAGATAGATGACTCTGTTGTCTCATCATCAACTCACTTGGTACTAGTTAGTTGGTTGCGGATGAGCTTGACAGCATCAACCAGGTTGGTGAGAGCGGGCTTAACCTCAGTGTATTTTCGCGTTTTAAGGCCACAATCAGGGTTGACCCAGAGGATGTTGCTTTCAAGGACTGCAAGCATCTTCTTGATTCTGTCAGCAATTTCTTCTGTGGGTGGAATTCTTGGTGAGTGAATATCATAAACGCCAGGACCAATACCAGCACCATATTTAACTCCCTCACGGAAGACCGATAGTAACTTCTCATCTGATCGGGAATTCTCAATGGTGATCACATCTGCATCCATATCTATGATCGAGTGAATGATGTCGTTGAAGTTCGAGTAACACATGTGAGTGTGAATCTGCCAAACAGCAGGTTATAGTAGAATTAATACAAGCTCGGTAAATAAACTGCATAATTATCGTTAATGAAGATTAGAGCCAGTGAGGTGAAGCTGAACCTGGGTAGTGTCTTGCACACCACAGTTTGTAATCCTAAATGAATGAACTGCCCAGTTTAGATAGAAAGCCTCCTCAGACTTCCTCAGAGGCAAACCTTCTCTTAAAGCAGCCTCGTCGATTTGGATGACGGTAATGCCAGCTTTCTCAAGATCCTCAACCTCATCCTTTATAGCCAAAGCAATCTGGTAGCAAGTCTCAAATCTAATAACAAAAAGACAATGTTAAATGAAACTGACATACTACAAAATGATCGACATTTATAACTTATAAGGTGTTTTTGCATACCTAGGTTGGTCATCTCTAACAAAGGACCAGTTCAGAATAGTAACAGGGCCAGTTAGCATTCCCTTCATAGGTCGTTTGGTCAAACTCTGAGCTGTCGAAGACCAAAAAACAGTCATTGGCTTGGGACGGCTCACATCACCATAGATAATTGGGGGTTTGACACAGCGGGATCCATAGGATTGCACCCACCCATTGGCAGTGAAAGCAAAGCCAGATAATTGTTCTCCGAAGTACTCAACCATGTCATTCCTCTGAATTGGCAAAAAAAAAAATCAACTTATAAAATATATGTAGTTTTGAACCGTATTTTCACACAAAAAGCCTCCTTTAAACCACTAAATAAATATAAAATATCAGCTTCATACCTCAGGCTCTCCATGCACCAAGACATCAATGTCGAGCTCTTCCTGGATCTTAACAACATTGTTAATTTCCTCTTTAATGAAATTGATATAATCCTCCTCGGAGATCCTATTCATATAGTGACATATAGCAGGTTAAGTGTTAAAATGTGATAATCATGGAATGTGGTAGATAACTGAAGAAAAAGAAGAATTATGCTTACTTTTTGGCCTTGAACTCACGGCGAACCCTTCTAAGATCTGCGGTCTGAGGGAAAGATCCAATTGTAGTGGTTGGAAGAATAGGAAGATTCAATTTCTTCTGTTGTGTGGCCAATCTGGAACTGACATTAGTGACCCTACGGTGATCAGAGCCCTTTAAAGTAGCAGCCTGAGAAAAGAAACCAACAATTTAAGAATAATCCTACTAGCTTATAATTTATCAAATACGGAAATAACATAATTGAAATCCAGAAGAACACTAACAGCCTTTTGGACAGCTTCATTTGTCACCCTTGGGGAGGACTTCCTTGAAGCTAAAGCGAAAGCATTAGAAGAAAAGTATGCCTGCAAAATAACACGCATTAAGAAGCTGAAAAATATAAAGTATGAATCAAAACATTCTTCGAGAGTATGATTTACCTCATCCTTTTGTCCAGACAATGCCCTGGCCAAGGCATTTACTTCAACTATTTTCTGTGCTGCAAAAGCAAGCCAAGACTTAATCTCTTGGTCCAGCTTTGTCTCATTCACCAGATCAACTGCAGTGTGAAGAAGAGAACAGGATGTGGAAACCACAACTTTGTCTGCAGAAGAAAAGTATAACTCACACTTACGTTGTTGCACGCTGAATATATATGTCAACAGAAAAAAAAAATACATTAATTAGTAAATACCCTTTCCAACAATGTCCCCAAGGGTCTGCAAGGTGTTTAGTGAAGCTTCAAGATTATTAGCCCAAATATTTCTTCCATCAACAATGCCAGCGAAAAGAAGTTTTCCAGATGGAAATCCTTGCTTGATCAAATCAAGGGTCTTTGTTCCGCGAACAAGGTCAAACCCATATGCAGTAACAGCCTTCAAAGAGGTGAGTGTTTTGTAGGCTTCAGCAGGGACATCAGCAAAGTATGTCTCAATCAGAACATCCAAACCAGATAAAGTAGATTCAAGCTCCGCATAAGCATAATCAAATGCTTGTAACTGGTGAGCATCAAGATCCTTGACAAGGGTAGGTTCATCAAATTGAATCCAAGTAGCACCAGCCGCCTTCAGTTCAGTCACCACTTCCCTATCAAAAATTACAGTATGATTAAAATTTGAAACAACTTAAATACATGATTCAAAAACTACATCACTGCATTAAACCCTTACTTGTAGACAGGAAGGATCTTGTCAATTAGGGAAAGAAGGGAAAATGATTTTTCAACTCCCTTAGCTGGTTTTGACAGCAACAAGTAGGATACTGGCCCCACAAGTACAGGTACAGTATTCACTCCTAGCTACATAGAACAAAATACATTGTATAAACATCACTATGAAATAAATAAGTCAAAACAGAAATCTCTTGTGATTAACATTCTTCCCAGGTTTCAATCTTGTTAAGTATATCAGAGGCTAGGTAGTGAAGATTCTTTCAAGAACTTATGCTAAAGTGAGTTTTGAACTTACAGCTTTGGCCTCCTTGTATTCATCCACCGCTTTGTGTGATGCGTAGGAGAACTTAACATCTGGACCCAATTCAGGAACAATGAAATGGCTGCACCATAATAGATTATGATTTTGATATGACTGATAAATATCAAACCAAAATGCCAATTCAACTTGTATCTAGATATTTAAATGAGATAGTTATGCATCAAAATCTTCATTCATACACTAACCTAACCGGTATCAAACCTAAAATCTCCATGTATAACTTGAAAATTAAGAAAAAGTTTTTGAGGGGGGTTACTTACTAGTTGGTGTCAAACCACTTGGTCATTTCCATAGCCGGCACAGACGCATTTCCTCTAGCCATGGAGAAGTAAACATCAAAGCCAATCTCTCCGCCTTTCCAACTATATCTATCGGGAACTGCACCGAGCATGGCTGTAGTGTCCAATACTTGATCATAGTATGAGAAGGTGTTGCTTGGAATATGCTGAATTCCAGCATCGGCCATCTGCTTCCAGATGGCTGACCTAAGGTTTGCAGCAACCTGCTTCAGTTCGTCGGCACTAGTCTTTCCATCCCAAAATGATTCAAGGGCAAACTTAAGTTCCCTCTTTGGTCCCATGCGGGGATAACCAACAATATGGGATGTCATCGCTCTGTTATTTCAGATAAACAATTTTAATATATCATTTGACCAATCCAAACACGGTCTTAAATTCAATCGTAAAGAAGAACTACTTGTAGAAATTTCAATAAACCTAAACCCTAAACTTAAACTACTCGAGTGAAATGAAGATACAGACCAAAAGGGTACTCATGCAGCATGTTAAGAAGCATAGCAATAGAAAAATGATATTGTGTGTCAAGTTATTAG